AGGGACAGGAATGGGTGTCTTTGGTGCATCTTGGTGCCCAACTCTGGTGTCCCTGGGGAAAGCAGGACAAGGTGATGGCGCTGCCACTGCTGTCCCACCCTGGTCTCACCACCGTGAAGGATCCCCAGGATTGGGAGGGGGGCGAGTCGAGATGAGTGCCCCCAGCCACGGGCACAGCACAGGGTGGCACTGCCTGGGGTCACCCACATGGTGAGGGGCTGGTGGCACTGCCCCCCCTTGCTTCCCACCCCCAGCATAGCCCTCGTGTGCCACCAAGGAAGAGGCCAGGGGACAACAGACTGGCTTGCCCTAAACGAGGGGTTCCAGGGGCCGCTGTCACCCCTCGGGCACAGTGACAACGAGGGGCACAGGATGGCACGGGGCGGGGGGGACACAGAGGACGCTGAGCCGGGTGACAGGATGCTGCCAAACACCTTTTTTGGGGGTTTCCTGAGGAAGGGCAGACCTGGGGGAGGGTGTGAAGCACAGCGGGCACTCTCAGGGCCGGGGGGGCACGGGGGGGCCCCGTGCCCGCTGCAGCCCCCGCTGGTACGGGCTGATCTTCAGCTCGGGGGGTGGTGGCAGCTTCGCAGGGTCCCGCGCCGAGAGGGACACCACGTTCAGGTAGATGGCCGTGTCGGAGGGGACAGCGCCTGCTGGGGGTCACTTCTGTCAGCCAGGACCCTCGGGGGGCACACGGGGTGCCCTGAGTAGGGGATGGCGGTGGGGGAGTGAGCAGGGGAGGTTTGGGGTTAGGGGAACACGGTACAGGTGGGCATGGGGGCGTTTGGAGGATGTGAGGAGGTACTGGGGAGGGGAGTTTGGGGACAGAGTTACCTCGACACCTGTGACAGCAGTGGTGGGCGAGCAGTGCCAGCCCCAGGAGGAGGGCGGTGCCCCCCAGGCCCCCCAGGAGCCCCCAGCACAGCGCTGCAAGCACAGCCAGCAGGGTCAGCCCCGGCCCCGGGGACACCGGACACGGGGATGGAGGGGACAGCAGGGACAGCGGGGGCACAGTTACCTGCCTGATGTCTTCCAAGAGCTGCTGCCGGGACGGGAGAGCAGTCAGAGATGTCCCTGTCCCTGTCCCCGTCCCTGTCCCCGTCCCTGTCACCGTCCCGTCCCTATCCCGTCCCTGTCCCCCTGTCCCCTGTCCCCTCCCTGTCCCTGTCCCCATCCCGTCCCCGTCCCCGTCCCTGTCCCTTCTTACTGTGGCCACCCAAAACCCCCCAGGAACCTCCCCCAAGGGACCCCACCCACCCAAGGGACCCCACCCACCCTGCTGGTGACCCTCAGTGATCCCCCCGGAGCCCCTCGGCGGTGCCACCTCCCCGCACGGAGCCGTCCCGGGCGGTCCCGGGCTGTCCCGGGCAGTACCGGGGGTGACGCGGAGCTCGGTGCCGTTGCCGGTGGCGGAGCCGTGCCGGGGGATCTCGAGGGTCACCCGGCAGAGGTAGCGCCCGCTGTCGTTGCCCTGCACCTGCGGGAGGCTGAGGGTGGCCCGGGGGGGGTGCCAGGCCAGCCGGGCCCCCGGGGCACGGTGGGGACAGGGGAACAGGGGCAGGGGGGTGCCAAAGCGCAGGCGGGTGGCACAGAGCACCCCAAAAACCCCGGCCCTCACCCACTCCATCCGCAGCAGGGCCTCGCTCTCGGCCACCTCCACCTGGCACCCCAGGGCCACCGTGCCACCCGTGGTCACCTGCAGCTCGCCCGGGTGCTGGGTCACCCGCAGGGCGCCCGCTGTGGGGACAGCCCCTGTCGTGGGGGGATGGATGGCACCCCCAGCCCCACGGTGCCCCAGGACACCCGTGGGGTGGGGGACAGGGACACTCCAGGCTCGCTGCCCACGTATCCCCTGTCACCTCTGACCACACATCCCATCCTGTCCCCCACCACTGCCGCCTTCCTGTCCCCACTGACGCTGTCTGCCCCCCTCCCTGTCCCCTCCCCGTGTCCCCCCATCCATCCATCCTCACCTGCTCCATCCTGTCCCCCTGCCGCAGCCATGCCACCCACCTCTGTCCCCACGTCTGTCCCTCCCTCTGTGTCCCCAGCCCCTCTCTGGTCTCCCCCTCAGGACAGATGTCCCCTCCCTCCCCATTTGTCACACAGGGGTCAGCCCGAGCCCCGTACCCCCCTCCACAGCGTCCCCTGGGTGGCCTGTCCCCAATCCCACAGGGTCCCAGGTGCTGTCCCCCCTGTCCCCCCCGCCAGCCTTGTCCCCCGCTCACCTCCAAGGAGGGGGATGAGGACCCCGAGCCGCCACATCCCCCGCTCCGGGCTCAGCGCAGCCCCCGCTCCGAGGGGCTGCGTCCCCAGGCGGTGCCAGTGCCCGCACTGCCCCTGTCCCCAAAGCACCGCTGTCCCCAAAGCCTCCTGGCCCTCCGCGATGCCACCCGGGCCAGCCCACTGCGACATTGTGGCTTCCGGCGGCTGTGGGACGGGGGAGGTGACGGGGACAGAGAGCGGGACCAGGGCGGGGGCAGGGAGGGGGACGTGGGTGGGGATGGGGATTTGGGCAGGGATGGGGCGGATGGCGGGATGGGAAAAGGGGAAAGGGATGGGGACAGGAACAGGAGCTGGAATAGCGACAGGGATGGGGATAGGAATTAGGACAAGGATGTGATTTGGGATAGGGATTTGGGCAGGGATGGGGCGGATGTCGGCATGGGAAAAGGGGAAAGGGATGGGGACAGGAACAGGAGCTGGAATAGCGACAGGGATGGGGATAAGGATGCGATTGGGGACAGGGATTTGGACAGGAATGGGGACAAGGATAGGGACAGTGATGCAGATGGGGACAGGGATGGGGACAGGGTTGGGGATAGGAATTAGGACAAGGATGTGATTGAGGATAGGGATTTGGAGAGGGATGGGGACAGGGATGGGGACAAGGATATGAGTGGGGACAGGGATTTGGACAGGGATGGGGACAGGGATTTGGACAGGGATGGGGACAAGGATAGGGACAGTGATGCAGCTGGGGACAGGGATGGGGACAGGGATGGGGACAGGGTTGGGGATAGGAATTAGGACAAGGATGTGGTTGAGTATAGGGATTTGGAGAGGGATGGGGACAGGGATGGGGACAGGGATGCGGACAGGGATTTGGACAGGGATGGGGACAAGAATAGGGACAAGGATATGACTGGGGACAGTGATGTGGGACACCATCCGAATTGAGGACAAGTGGCAGCACCTCCTCAGGTCCCACCTTGATCCTGGCACCACTCCAGCCTCGGGAGGAGCCCCGTGGGGACTTCCTCTGATCCCCCTGGAGCAGGGGGACCCCTCCTGCCCCACGAGTGGGCTTTGGTGGGGGGGGGTTCGGATTCCTGGACTGGGAAGCGTGACAGTGTCCCCCCCGCGGGGTGACAATGTCCCTCCCCCTGCCCTCGCCCCCAGCCCCGGCCCGGCGCTGCCGCCGCCGCCGCCGCTCCGGGACTACAACTCCCGGCGTGCCCCGGGGCCGGGCGGGGCCGCGCGGGCGGGGCGGGGCGGGGGCGCCGCTCCCCCTTTGTTGGCGGCGGCGGCGCCGAGCGCGGCGGGGCCGGCCCGGGATGGGCGACCAGGTACGGCCCGGGGCCCCCGGGAGCGGCGGGGCGCGGCGGGGCAGGAGGAAGCGGGCGGGCGGGGGGTGAGGGGATGGAGCGATGGAGGATGGAGGGAGGGATGGAGGGAGAGGGGACGGACGGGTGGAGGGAGGGATGAAGAAGGAGAGATGAAGGAAGAAGGGATGGAGGAAGTGGGGATGGAGGGATGGGAAGGAGGGAGGGAGGGAGGAAGTGGGGATGGAGGAGCAGGGATGAGGAGCGCAGGTGTGGCGGATGGAGGGGCTGAAGGGTTCAGGGGGGCACCGGAGGGAAGGAGGGGTGCGGGAGGGCTGGGGGGGCGCGGAGGGGAGCAGGGGGCTCAGCACTGCCACGCTCACGCTCACACTCACGCTCACACTCACACTCACACTCACACTCACACTCACACTGACATTGCCGAGTCATCGGCCCCGCCATGCCCGGCAGCCCGGCCGGGTCTCCGCGGTGCCCGGCACGGCTTGGCACGGCCCGGCACGGCCCCGGGGCGAGCGCGGGGCCCGCGGGGCCGGCGGGCACTGACAGGGCGCCGGGCAGGAATCTCTCCGCAAGATCATCACCACGCTCGCCGTGAAGAATGAGGAGATCCAGAACTTCATCTACTCCCTCAAGCAGATGATCCAGAACGTGGAGGTAGCCCCGGCCCCCCGCGCTCCCCCGGGGCCCCGCGGGGCCGGCCCCGCTCAGGCCCCGCCGTTGTGCCCAGGCCAACTCGGCGCGGGCGCAGGAGGACCTGGAGGCCGAGTTCCAGTCGCTCTACGTGCTGCTGGCCGAGCTCAAGGAGGACATGCTGATGAAGATCAAGCAGGAACGTGCCAGCCGCACCTACGAGCTGCAGGTGAGCCCCGGCCCGGCGCCCCCGGCCCGCGACCCTGCCCGGCACTGCCCCTCTGCCCTCCCTCCCCTGCCAGGCCCAGCTCGTGGCGTGCTCCAAGGCCCTGGAGAGCTCCGAGGAGCTGCTGGAGGCGGCCAACCAAGCCCTGGGCACGGCCAACCACCAAGACTTCTCCCAGGTGGGTGCC